ATTCCGTGAATGCTACAAGTTGTTTGGCATATGAAAGACCAGAACAACGTCACTTCACCCACAGTCTGATGGGATGGTAAAAAAGTACAATTGGACACTGGAACAGGAATTGGCAATGTTTTGTAATAGCCACCAAGATGACTGGGATGTCTTATTTCCTCCACCGTTGATGGCCTATAGAACAGCAGAGCATGAAGCCACTGGATACACTCCAGCAAAGCTGATCTTTGGTCGGGAACTTCGGTTGCCAGTGGACCTGATAACAGGATGCCCACCATACAAAGAGTTGCCTGAAAATGTGCCAAAGTTTGTGAAAGTGTTATTTAAAAGGATGGATGATATTCACCATCAGGTGCGTTCAAACTTGAAAATGTCTGCTGATTCGATGAAGCTATGTTATGATAAGAGATCTACTGAAATTAACAAACAAGCAGATACATAACAATACTAAGCAATAAGTTGGAATACAATGGTCAAAAAGTCATCAGAGCAACCATTACGAAATTGCAATTGAACAATGTCATTAACTATGCATCAGTTTCAGTATATGAAATATTTTCTACCCATCAACAGTTAAAAGTAACCCACTCTACTGTAACTCCCTCTTGTGATTACATATAATATATTTTGTGTAAGACACCATAATACATGCCCCACATAGGTGAAATTTCAACAAGTTTATGTAGTTTTTCATTCATACTCATTTTAAGTTAATAAAGCAAACACTTTTGTATAATGTAATATTATTCATTCACTCTATTGTATATAAGATGATGCAGTTAGTTTTCTTGACTTTTAATTAGAAATATCTAGAAATATATTTAATAAAGCATTTGTAGTGTAAATAAAGGACTGAATATTTCTAGAAATATATTTAATACAGCATTTGTAGTGTAAATAAAGCACTGAGTAACTTCTAGACATGTATTTAATATAGCATTTCTAGTGTAAATAAAACACTGAATATTTCTAGAAATGTATTTAATATTGCATTTGTAGTGTAAATAAGCACTGAGTAACTTCTAGACATGTATTTGATATAGCATTTGTAGTGTAAATAAGCACTGAATATTTCTAGAAATGTATTTAATATAGCATTTGTAGTGTAAATAAGCACTGAATATTTCTAGAAGTGTATTTAATATACATTTGTAGTGTTATTAAAGCACTTAGAAATTTCTAGATGTGTATTTGATATAACATTTATAATGTAAATAAAGTACTGAGTAACTTCTATAAATATATTTAGTTTAAGCATTTGTAGCAGTGGCATACAGTCAGGGAATGCAAATCATGCTGTACTTGATCAGTCAGAAAACTAAAAATGTGGTGATAACGTTATACAGTGGAATATGTCTTTTATATTTATTATATAATATATTATTTTACCATTTGTTTATTGTGTGTTTCTTTGTGGTCGCCTTCATGCCTAACCTTGCACACCCAACAATATCTTGTTTTCTGTAGTGATATCACTGTCACCTGTTAGTCATGCTGCATTAAAATAGCATGAAAGCTAGTGCGTGTGCAAAAGTTCAATGTCAACAACTTATCGGGTACATGCTTTGCTTCACTTGATTTTGTGATTTGTTTTTGGTATATACTCTTCTACCATGTTTGAGCAATTGGAGTGCATTATTGAAAAGCTTATAAGGCTACCTTTTGTCAAAGAGGCTTACAAGAAAAAAAAAATGAAATTGTTAGGCATGGGCAACTAACTCCTACACTGCTAGGCCTAATTAAAGGATGCAAAAATTTTGTCTGGTATTTTTAGGAGAATTCTCATGTGAAAATGGAATGACTAACAGCGTATCAAAAGCAAAATAAGTTGTTTTGTTCACCATGCATTCTGTTTGCAAGTAAGTAAAATGTATGTAACTTCAAAGGTTGAACTCAAAACATTTAGCAGCACTCATACAGATCTACATTTTGATGAGCAAAAATGTGCTACTACTGTACAGCACAATGAAAGGGTCAGAAAACATAGGGACATGCTACACAGACTTATCGATATAGTAATGTACTTGGGAAGCCAAGAACCAGCATTTCATGAGCATTCAGAAGGTGAATCATCAGTGAATCTGGTTCACCTGATTAGCAAGTACAATGAAAGGTTAGCAAACCACGTGCAAAGCTATACTATTTTCTCTAAAATGTTTATCAGAATTCAAAATGATGTAATTGAAGCTGTAATTTTGGCAGTAATAAAGAAGGAAATTATTGAAGCCAAATTCGTTGCAGTGCTCCTGAATGAAACCTCCCAACTCTCAGCAGTGTGGTAATATGTGACTACAGACACTGTAGCAAAGGAGTGATTTATCGGCTTTATGGATGTCAGTGCAGATTGTTCAGCAATCATGCTTTCAGAACACACCTTTGCTTGTGTTGAGGAGAGGGATTGTGCAAATAAGTTAGCAGCACAAACTTACAATGGTGCAACATCATTGGCTGGTGAGTTGAATGGTTTGCAGGCAAAAGTTAAGGCTAGATTTCCATGTGCAATTTTTATCCACACACCTTTGCTTGTGTTGAGGAGAGGGACTGTGCAAATAAGTTAACAGCACAAATTTACAATGGTGCAACATCATTGGCTGGTGAGTTGAATGGTGCAGGCAAAAGTTAAGGCTAGATTTCCATGTGCAATTTTTATCCATTGCTATACATATGCCTTGAATCTAGTTTTTTAACAAGCTTGCACAAGTATCAAAGGGTGTAAAATACTCTTTTGTACATTAAATGGACTTACCTCTTTCTTCTCTACATCACCTAGTGAACAAAGGCACTGGATGATGTTGCACAGAGGTGGTTTTTCAGGGCTGCACCAACACAATGGAATGATTCGATGTGTCTTGTTAACATGGCTAAGGACTATTGCCATTCACTTATTGAACTATTTGAACAGATCATTGAGAACCCATTAGATTGAGATCAGAATACAATTCTTTCAGTCAGAGACTTCCAGCACAGCTTTAAAGACCCTAAATTCTGGATTTTGCTTGAAGTTTTTGGTGATGTTTTCGTGCATACTGATGTGTTGTTTAATATGGTGCAATCAACATTTTAGACATTGGATACTGCATAACTGAAATGAAGAAGACTACTGAGGTAGTACAGAACAAAAGAAAAGACTATGAAAAATTCTATTCAAAATTTGAGGAATCCATTGAAATGTCTGCTAACATACATAGAAAAGCTGCAGCAGTGACCCAAAACAAGAGTATAAAATACTATGTTTTAAGGTGTTGGATACAATAGCTATGCATATACAATGTTGATTTTCATCACTGGAAAAACTTAAGTTCCTGGGGCTATTAAACTTCAGTAAATTCGGTCAGTACAGAAATGTCTTTCCAGAAGAAGCATCAACTTTCTTAAATGAAATGTATGGACACTTCTTTGACAATGTATGGCTGTATCATGTAATGTATTCATTGCAAGATGATTTTATGGAGAAAAGTGTTGCAGAGCTACTTTTATACGTGCATACAAATAAACTAAGTGATACCATGGCTGAAGTGTAAAGGCTTCATGACTTATTCTTTAGTGTTCCATCTACCACTGTGTATGTGGAAAGAATGCTTTCAACAATGAAAAGAATAAAAGAGTAGATATATGTGAGAAATACAACACTGCTGTTATATCTGTCAGGACTGGCTGTTATGTAAATTGAAAAATAAAAGGTTACTTCAAAAGCTAAAAAGTGGAGAATTTTTATGACACATTTATAGAAGAATTTTAAAGAAAGATCATTGGCAGGATTTCATCTACAAATAGGATGAGCAAATCTGTTCCCTGTATGTTTTTTTTTTTATTCTGGGGGTATCATTAACAAGCTATTACTGCATGACCTACTTGAAAACCCACCACATTTATATGGTAAATAAAGCATTGAGTAACTTCTAGAAACATATTTAATATAGCATTTGTAGTGTAAATAAAGGACTGAGTAATTTCTAGAAAACATATTTAATATAGCATTTGTAGTGTAAGTAAAGGATTGAGTAATTTCTAGAAATATATTTAGTATAGCATTTATAGTGTAAATAAAGCACTGAATATTATTAGACATGTATTTAATATATAATTTGTAATGTAAGTAAAGTACCGAGTAGTCCTAGACATGTATTTAATATAGTATTTGTAGTATAAATAAAGCACTGAATATTTCTAGAAATGTATTTAATATAGCATTTGTAGTGTAAATAAAGCACTGAGTAACTTCTAGAAATGTATTTAATATAGCATTTGTAGTGTAGGACTTGAGTAATTTAAGAAATGTGTTTTTATATAGAATATGTAGTGTAAGTAAAGCATTGTTACTTAGTTATAAAGTTTAGTTTGTTCTGTCATACTTAGCTTCCCTTTAATAATGATAGGACTTTTCCAAAAGTGTGAAAGACAGGAAAGAAAGGTAAAGATGATGAAGGATAAAAATCAAAATAACAAAAACAATAAAATATTAATTTTTTTTAAATTATGTAGAACTTATAAGACTGTTATAATTTACACGAGATCAAAATTAACCTTCTCAAGTAATTGCAAGTAGAAGAAAGGAACTGAAGGACATTGAAGTTTATTTATTTATATACGGTTTGATAATCATAGATTTTATTGCTTTGCATGTTTTTTTTTCACCATATAAAGCAAATTGAAAAGAAAGTATAATAGAAACAAGTAAAAAGAAAGAAAGTGTCTGGATTTTTTTTCGTTGTTCTAATGATTTTTGTTACACTTAAATGCTTTCAATGCTAATAAGAACTTAGAAAGAAAGCATTGAAAAAGAAATCCATGTAAATTATCAAGCCACTGTTTGTTTCCTAATCTGCACTTTGTCATCCAAGTCGTTTTTTAAACTAAAATGTTTATAAAAGATATAAAATCTTTATTGGTTGATGTATCTACATCATTATTCCTTTTTCCAAATCGGTTTTAGTTCCAGATGCATGCTTGTGTGTGTGTGTGTGATATAGCTTTTTAATTTTGGTTGTAGTGAGTTGTATAGTTATTAAAGTATTACTACAATTTATTAATATCTATACTGTTTGAATCAAAGACTTGTTTTAATTGTAGATCTACAGACCTTTATGAACAGTTCCTGTGGAAAAAAGTCCCTGAATCCAAGCAATGTGAAAGTGGTTGATTACACGTTGTCAAGAATAAATAACCAAAAAATACATATAATTTCCAATAGTAGAGATAAATCATACAGAAGTATTGTGTCTAACAAAGAGTTAGAAAGAAATGATAATTTAAAATTAAATGAGAGTACCAGCAGTGGGAAGAAACTATACAGATGTGTACTGTGTGGCAAACAATTTGTAAGCATTAATGTCCTAGTAAAACACAAGAGGACACACACTGGAGAAAAACTCTGCACTTGTGTAGTTTGTGGTAAAAAGTTTGTGAAAAATAGTCATCTTAAAATACATCACAGGATACACACTGGGGAAAAGCCATTCAAATGTGTAGTGTGTGGTAAAGATTTTCGAAGTAAAGGTCATCTTAAAACTCATCACAGAATACACACTGGAGAGAAACCATACGGTTGTGTAGTGTGTGGTAAAAAATTTGTAAGAAATGGTCACCTCATAACTCATCAAAGAACACACACTGGTGAGAAACCATACAGTTGTATAATTTGTGACAAAAAATTTAAAAGTAATGGTGAACTTAAAGCACATCAGAGAGTACATACTGGGGAGAAACCATACAGTTGTGCAGAGTGTGGTAAAGTATTTGCAAGAAATGGACACCTCATAACTCATCAGAGGAGACACACTGGTGAGAAACCATACAGTTGTATAATTTGTGACAAAAAATTTAAAAGTAATGGTGAACTTAAATTACATCAGAGGATACACACTGGAGAGAAACCATACAGTTGTATAGAGTGTGGTAAAGAATTTAGAAGAAATAGTCATCTTAAAGTACATCAGAGGATACATACTGGAGAGAAACCATACAAATGTGTAGTGTGTGGTAAAGAATTTGTAAGCAGTAGTCAGCTTAAAAGACATCAGAGGACACACACTGGGAAGAAACTATACAGTTGTGGAGCTTGTGACCAACAGTTTGGAAGAAAAAGTGACTTAAAAAAACATGAAAAAAATACACACTGAGAGAAACCATACAGATTCATAGTTTGTGACAAAGAATTTCTATGTGGTTGTGACCTTAAAATACATAAGAATGTCCACTTGGAAGAAATTATAAATGTCTGAAACCAAGCATGGTGACTTTGTTTTGTTTTTTGTTCAAGTTTAATTGTAATGTTTAGGATCAGGTTGATTGTGTGGCTATAGGCTTAAGATTGACGCCTTTCTTGGGCATTCTTTGTTTTAATGAAAAAAGATGTTGGCAGACGGTCTTCGTACTAAAATGTTTTACTATCAAAGATAAATGAACAAAGAGAGCTTAGTCAGTCATAAGGAGAGGCCACATCTTAAGTTAGTGTAGTTTATAATTTTCTGTTTAAGTTATAAAATATAAAGAGTATATTTTTTTAGTAATATTTTCAGGAAAGTAACCAAAGAAAACAGATTTGTTACAGTAGATATATATTTCTGATTTGTTTTGTGTAGCAGAAAAATTGAAAGAAATAATCAGTTTAAAATATTCACTATCAATATTTTCTTTAGTTTGTAACAAGTGGTTTCTGTTTATCTTATTTTAATGATAAACACATCAGTCTGTTTATGGAAACAGTAATGTACAGGACTTTCAAAGTTGATGTAATCTCTGCTTTTTATTCACCTGAATTAGATTTATAAAATTCTGTTCTAGTAGAATGAGGAAGCTACTTTTATCTGATAATAGTAAATATTATTTTTAGGGCCTATTTTTTAACATACCAAGGTTCTAATTGTAAATAACATGAAATTTGTATTGTCACTAGTTAATTATATGATAATGTTTATGTCTACATATAAATCATCAAAAGGCTAAGAAAATACGATTTTTATATTAAGCCTAATAAACTTGTTTATAGTTAGGTATATATGTAACATATCTTCCTGGCCATATTAACTCTTGTTTCCCACCCTTTTGTTTTTAACTGTAAGATTTAAGCTTATTATGTGTATGTATTTTTTGTACAAATGTAATTATATTAAGTAAAGGCTAAAATGTATATTTAAAAGGTTTTCTTTTGTTTGTTTCTTTGTTATTAAGAGTAAGGATTCACTATAAGCCATTTGTTCTCTGTCCACCATGGGTATCAAAACATGATCTTTAGCATTATAAGCCCTTAGGCTTACCATTGTGCCACCAGGGTAGTTATATTTAAAAGGAAAAACAATGAAATAAAACTTAAACAACAGTGTTGCTGTTGTAGGAAAGGTATATAATACACCGTAGAAATACACTATAAATATAAAAATTGCAGGATTAAGGAAATGGTAGAGAAACAGATTATAAAGTTTGAATATGGAATGAAGATTTGCTATTTATGTAACTATTGTATCAGTATGGTATGAAGTCAGCTCAGTAAAGCTAATTTTGGTAGTTGCATTGTAGAGCTTTGAAAAATAGGCAAAGTTAGCTTTTGGTATTTTTGTTGTGAAATTTTAGAAGTTTTGGGATATTTTCAGTCATAGCAAAATAGGCATGGTATTTCTGTGCATCAACAGGCAGTGTTATACAACATAGTTGAGTGCTCTGTATTTACCTTCTTGTTGCACACACATTGTGAAGGTAATAAAAATCAACCTGAGCACTGGTCAATGTGATGCCTTCAAGGGGTTAAGAGCAATACAGACATGCCAGGGAACAGCATAGGTAATACTTCTGCAGTAGTTTATAAATATATTTTAGTTTGTTTTACTTCAGTAGAGAACCATGTCAAATCCTGTTTCTCACAATCAGGTAAGGAAAACAGTAGTAAACTATGGTATAGAAGTCTCCCTAGCTGCTGCAGCAAAAAAAGAACTGTTTTAGAGAATACGTGTGTAGCCTTACATCTGGTTATATACACAGCATGGTCACAA